CTAATTAGAAATCTCTCTTTTAAAAACCTCCATTGGTTTCCAATAGTTATAGTCACTAGGTAAAGTAAAGCAGTTCTGAGCCTCCCTCAGGTTGTATGGGGTAGAAACCAGGTAGTGAGTATCTGTGACCCAGGCAATAGGTGCTGATCTTGTAGAACACATGGACCATTCCAGTGCTGCTCAGAAGTGGGGCATCTGGCCACATTAGTGTATTTGTTAGTAAAGTCAACAGACTCAATGATGCTGTATGGGAAGGATAAGCAGACTCAACAAGGAAAGCCTCTGGTCTGACTTGAGATGTAGATCAAATTTTGATTTAGTTTGGTAAGATTTTGCCTTAGTGTTCTCTGGTTGTTATTTCTATATTTATTATATACATGATATATATCACATATACATATATCTGATTATTAATAAAAATCATAGCTATTTGTTACCTGAGATGAATATAAGATAACTTAATATTTGTGGGGGTATAAAGGTGAAAGTTCTAGATTCCTTGATGCAAAGTGATTTTGTTTTTTGTCCTGCACCAAATACAGAATAGCAGTATAGTATCTCACTAAGAGATGTTTCAAAAACAAAGAGACAGACAAACAGGCAAACAGGTATCATTTAAAAAAAAGAATTCTTTACATTCACATTGTAGGAATCTTGCACAGTCATTAGTGAAAACTATTCTATGCGTGGGCGTTTTCCAATTTTGAAAAGCTGAGTTGACTTAGCAAGTGTCAGAGAAAATGGAATTAGTTCTAAATTTCTAGGCTTTCTATTCTGCCATGCACAGCTGTGATATTCCCCTCCATGTGAAATATAATTAATTTTTAGTTTTCTTTTTGTAGTATATTTATTACAGTTATTCAAAGTCACCAATGATTTTGGAGGATAAGTAAATTTCAGATCAAGTTCGTTTGACTTCTGTAGCTGAGGACATGGTGACTTTTACTTGTATGTATAGGATGATGGTGTTTGATTTGTGTTTAAGAGCCATTTACCCCAGCCTATTTAATACCCATACATTCTGCTTCTCTTAGGATGTTTGTTATTCAAATTTGTTGATTGTATTTTTCCTGCACATGGTTTGTCCCAAATACCCCTTGTTTTTCAGTATATGCAGCAAAGAGAATTCAAGTATAGTGAGGTGCCTGAGGTTAGCTACAGATCTGGATCTTAATGAAAACCCTGTGTGGAGAGAGAGGGAGAGGGAGAGAGAGAGAGAGAGAGAGAGAGAGAGAGAGAGAGAGAGAGAGAGAGAGAGAGGAGAGAAGAAACCCCCTTGGCTTTTGAAATGTTCATTTTTCATGGCTCAGTTCTCATTTGTTGTGTATGGAGCTCATTCTGCCTTTATCTTGTTGGGTTAGTACTCATATCTGATGCTTGCCTAATCCACATTTTAATAAGCAATTGTGTTATCATATTGGTAAATGTCAAAGGAAGAGACACTCCGTGCACCTACATCATCCCAACACCTAACATCCCTTGCCAAAGCTGTGAATGTGATGCCGTGTTCTTCCACAGAAGGAAAACATAATTTCATTATCCATGAATCATCGCGCCTCAGACTGTACCATCCTTGTCAGAGAGCCTAATAGCACCACTGTTTAGCTGGCTGCAAAGGAGGAAGGAAGGAGAAAGCGCTGGGGGTGGGGGGTGAAGCACAGGTCAATGGCATGATCAAAACTGGAGAGCAGTTCTCATGCAGAAGAGGAGGCCTCCCTTTCTGGATAGCCTGACATATCTACTGACCAGCAGGAACTGAGCAGGATTCTCTCAACATCTCTTTCTCCAGCCTAGGTTACACTGTTTTCCAACTCTGAGCATGATAATATTGCTTTAAAAGAAAATATTGCAGACTATTTTGATGAATACAGATGGTTAAAGCATTTTCTATTTTTATTGCACTACTGCTCGTTTTGTGTCTTTGGGCATTATTTCTAGCTCTCAGTACCAGTTTGTGGTTTTTCATTCTATTATTACTGAGAACATAAGTAATAACTTTGATAATATGGATGATAATCATACTTCACAGGGAAGCTAACATTAAGTAATATGCACAGAGCAGAGAAATCTATGCTGCCAATAAGTTCACAAAAGAAAAAAGCTAAAAAAAAGCAGCTGTGGTTACTTGAATTAGCCACTAGAGGACAGTGCTACTCTATAGAAATCAGCATTGCCAGCTTCTATTTAGGTAGTTGACTCACCAAACCAAGTTAAAAAGAAAAGAAAAGAAAACAAACAACAACAACAAAAATGGTTGAAAATCTTTGGGAAGATGTCATGTCAGCATCCTTGGAAGGTATCAAGTCATTTAAAATAAATATGTTATGCATAATATTGCCTAAAAGTCCCTGGTTCAGAGCATTGCCTCTGTGCTGCTTCCGCACCTTTTGTGGTGAGGTCAATAAATAAATGAAAAACAAACTCCATTTGCTGTCTGTTTTGAGGAAGCATTAAAGGTACTGAGACTCACTTCTGCATCCATGAAGCATCTAAACAGCTCAGGCCCATCACATCCATTTTGTCCCTTTAGAGGGAAATTGGACAGTTCATGTGTATTTGCAATAAAGACATGAATAGCAAGGATTCTTCTCCAATATGAAGTTGAAGTACATTTCAAAGACCTATGGCATACAGTGTGGAAGTGACACAGGGCAGACACAAGCACAGCAACTTCTGACCAGCTTGCCATCTGGCTTTCTCATATGACACCACAGTAAGGGAGCCCTCTAACATAGGAGCCACACATTGGTTCTTGGGGCATTGTGACAGCTGCAAAAGAGCTCTTTACAGAGGAGAGATGTGTGTTTAAAACTTTTTTCCTTGTAATCTCATGCCATGAATCAAAATGTGTTTTGTTGTTTCTAAGGCATTTCATTTGGTTTCTTATTTCCAAGAGAGGCATCAAAAATGAACAGCCTTCAAAATGTTGCTCATTCATTTAATCTGAGATCAGTTTTACACACCAAGTGGTTTTGGATCTTAGAAATACTTTTCAATACAGCAAACATGTTTTGTATATTCTTAGTGGCATAGCATTAATAATTTGAAAAAAATCTAAAAATGTATATAGCTGTCAGTTTGCCTTGGCTAGATGTACTTGTTTCCTATAGTAAGGCAGAGGGTGGAGTAAAAGAATAGAAATGGGCTTTTTCCCCCACTCCAACAGTGCATTTAATTAATACAGTCATGTTCATAGTACAGATAAAAATGAGGCTAACCAAAGGAAAAAATTAGATGTAATATATATTTACTGACAATATAGAAAAATGTAAAATTACAATTCCGTGAAAACCATCTCTGAAACTATGGTCACTCAGCTCATGATACTGTAAGATCTATCTGCATTATTAATCTACTGGGAGTCTGTGGCCATTGGTTATTACTAAATGCATACTCAATGGTTAGTCAGGGGTAAACATGGAATTGTGATGCTTTTCTGAGCTGGCACCTGGTCTCTTCAAAGCACCTTGAGAAATCCACTTGAAATGCTGCTTTTCTTATTGCTAATAGAAGTATGGTTTCAATAATCTGGATTCCTTGCTATTATATTTCATGTTAACTTGTTTGGATTTTCCCTCTCAGCTTATGGAATATGAACATACTCTATAAAAATGCTAGTAAGAAATACCCATTCACCCATTCACTTTGTCTTTGCTAGTATTATTGTTGTTGTTTTAATTATTATTTTTACTTTGCAGCAACTGTTTTGAAAGATGTAAGGGCTGGCCAGTCCTAAGGTGAATCATCCCTAATGTGAAATCCATTAGGATCTGCTCCTAGACTAAAGCTGTTCATCTGAGAGAGAGAGAGGACAAAAAGGGGTGACAGAATAAATATATTTTTTCAAAACATCATTAATACAGAGGGTGTGGTATCCATGCTGCAGTCAGCAGACTTTCACCAATGACATAAAAACATGCATGCAGCTTGCAGGCTGCCAAGTGGGTTCTGTATCATAATGTACTGATGGTTGAGTTACAATACAGATGAACACAGGGACACAGTGATGTCAACAACAGCAAAGCAATGGCGAACTGTCACAATGTCAGTCTTTTTTCCCTCCAGGGTTGATTTTATGCATGTATTAAGGCATTACCAGAAGCATCTTTTTCAGGGATTCTGTTGGAGAAGCATGTTCAGACATCTGAATGGTGTTTGTATCAGTCTGGTGTGTGTAGAGCACATCCCAGGACACTATAAGACAGCCTCACAAACCCTGAACAGGACAGCACAGAGCTCAGGACACTATTAACTACAAGGGGGTCTTAGAAAATAAGCTGCAAAAAGACATATCCTGGGAAGGTCCCAGCTACATGTGTGTGAGAAGGTGCTTTACATCAGCATGCCTTGTCTCTGAATTTCCTCATCTCCAGAGGACAGTCTGCCTCTTTGGATGTGCCTATCTAATGATTTTGTTGTTTAACAAATGGATGTTTAGGGAAGAACACACAGGCTGGGGGAAATTGATAGTGAACCCGTTAGTGTGGTTTTACAGGGTTGGGGATGTGAGATAAGGCCGAAAGCCTCAAACTTTGTGCTTGCCTGTTGCCTTGTATTTTGCAGTCATTTGCTTTAAGCCTTTGACACTTGTTCCTGTGGCCACCTTGTAATTTCCATATCCCTGCAAACTGCTCAGAGACCTGCTCTAACCCACCACCCTCTGTGGATAATTTTCTGGGATTTTCTTTGAAAGGCAGACGTTATTTCTCATTCCCAGTCTCTGTAGTGTTCCCTAATCAAGTCATCTCAGATTCATTCAACCCTCCAAGGTCCCAGGATCTCTTCTCTCTCTCTTTTTTCCTCTGGATTTGCCAATGAACTATAAAACACCCAAAGCTGAAAATTTGACCCTCCCAGGTCCAGGTGGAGAATAGGAATAGGTGGAGGGAATCATTCAGGAAACGAAGTTTTTGGGGGGTTGTGTGTGTGTGTGTGTGTGTGTGTGTGTGTGTGTATGTTTTTCTGGAAACAAATGTGATGTTAATAAAATCCATATAGGGTCTTATACAATAGGCATGGTGTTAAACCAGAGTTCCAGCCTCACATTGATTGTGGTATTTAAATTTCAATGGGTTGACTATTTATGGGAGGAAAATGACCAGTATTATGAACACACTCTCAGAGACAGGGAAGGCCCTTGCCAGCACAGCGAGAGGGAGGGGGAGGGGAGGGGCACCGTGTTCCCTTGACAGTCAGCAGAGTTCAATAAAGCACCACTTATTTTCCCAGCTTTTAAGAGCTCTCTGTTTTGTTTTGGTTTTAAATTACAATGGTTCATACCTCACACTCCCTGGAGCCTGATTTGCTATAGGTGCAGGGTCCGGTTCCGTTCAGCAGCATCTCGCTGGTCTCAGTGTTGGTGGGTTTATAATCTACATAAAATTCCTGGGTGCCTGGAGTCATTTGCTTGAGCGATTGCCGTTTCTTCTTCCGGTGCCTTCTCATGAGGGAACGCTGTTGCAGCTGCTTCATGCTGGCTGGGTACCGCTTCCAGGACACGTACATTACCAAGAGGATGACCAGCACCGACAGGAAAAGGGCTACGCTGCCCGCGATGATCTTATGGAAGGAGATGTGTTCTGTGTCCACATCTGTCTCTGGGCTGGGCTCGGTAGCTCCCACCGTGGGGGGCAGCGGAGGCTTGCTCTCATGCTTGGGCCTGGGGAGCTTGGGCTTAAACGTGGGCTTGGGGAGCGCCCTGGCCAGGTCAAACCTCTCGGTGGTGCTTTTGCCACAGATGCTGTAGTTCTTTACTGCATCGATCACGTTTACCCCCTGCAGCTCTTTGGGACTGGCGCAGATAATTGTATTCTCTCTCAGCCCCTTAAAACTTTTCAACCAGTTTACCAGGGAACAGATATTCCTGCTGCATTCCCATATATTCCCGGCAAGACTGATGTCATTGAGAGAGATCCAAGAATCCAGAATCTCTTGACCAATAAATGTGAGCTTGTTGGAATCCAGGTTGAGGCGCTGCAGGTTGGGGACGCACTGGAAGACACTGGGTCCACTGAACGCTTCGATTTCATTTCCCGACAGGTCAAGCCTCTGCAAGGAACTCCAAGTCCAGGACATGGTTTGCCCTATGACACTGATTTTATTCCACTGCATGTACAAGTTCTGAAGGCTCACCAACCTTGGGAAAAGGGCTAGGTTGAGCTTGGAAAATTGATTGTGCTCCAGATGAAGTTCTTTCAGTCTGATCATGCCAGCAAAGACATTCCTGGCTAAACTTCGGATCCTGTTGTACCCCAGGTCCAGAAGCTCCAGGTTGCGACAGTCTTGGAAGATCCGCACAGGGATTGTTCTTAGGGAGTTGGAGCGGAGGTGTAAACTAAGCAGCTTCCTCAAGCCCCGGAACTGTTCAGATCCCAGAGAATGGAGCTGATTATAGGACAGATCCAAGTTCCGTAAATTGGTCACAGGTCTGAAGGTGTTGTTAAGAAAATAAGAGATTCTGTTGGAACTCAAAATCAACTCTTTGAGTCTGCGTATCCCATTGAAAGCATTCTCGTCAATATTGCTGATATGGTTATGATCAAGGTAGAGCCAGGTGAGCTGATTGAGCCCTTTAAACTGGTTATACTTAAGTTTTTGGAGGCTGTTGTAGCGAAGGGATAAACCCAAGCAACCGGCGGATATGCTTGAGGGGATCTCCTGCAGTTTCTGAGATTCACAGTATACCATTTTGCCCTCGCACCTACAACCCTTAGGGCATCCTCTTTCAGCTGAAGAGAGCATTGTCAGTAAGACAGTGGGGGCTAGAACCACCGCTACAGCTGATCCGCGCAGTAGCCTAATTACATTGAAACCTGGAAATAAAAACAACTTAGAAAAGTTATCCCCCCAAAAAGAATGCATTAAAAAAAAAAGCAACGCTAGCCATCAATGTCCACATTCAGAAATGTAAACATTTAACACCAGATACCATCTTTGCAATATAAGAATACTGTATGTTTCTAATAATTAAACAAGGAATATGTTCATTGATTATCAAATTTATAATCTTATACCAGAGAAAGATAATCTTTAAAACAAAGCAGAATTATTACATAGATTTAGGATTTTTTTTTCCATTTGTTTTTAAGAAGGAAAGAAGGAAAATGACAAAACATACCCATCCTTTGTATTGTTCAAAGGCCGTCCTTAGGTCTTTTGCTTTGGCTTAGGGGCCGCCTGCATGACAGCCCCTGTCAGCTGCAGTGTAGTGAGTCAGGGCTCGCTGACACCCAGGAAGAAAAATTGGACCCCTTGGGAGATGGACCGATTTTGGAACATTATTCTTTACCAGCCATGCAGAACACTCCAAGAACAAATAAATCCCAACACCGCATTCACAGTAAAACATCCGAGTCTTCCTAGGTAATAGGATCTTCATGGATATTGCGTTTTTGCATCTTTACTGTGTGTGTGTGTGTGTGTGTGTGTGTGTGTGTGTGTGTTAAAAAAAAATTGCTTCTACAATTTCTTCTCAAAACCCATGATGTATTCCTCTAGGCAACGTGGGGCTACCTGTACTGCCACATCTGTATTCCATAGTAGCCTGGCGGTCCCGTGGCGGTGAGCACCCAGTTCAGCCACGGCGCTGCGTTGGAGCCCAGAAGGCAGGAGAGCCCGGTTCCGCGCACACGCTCGGCTCACTCCTGCAGACTGTCATTCTGAAAGCGGCTCGGACTGTTGCTTCAGTTTCAGTGAATGCAGTCTTATGTAAAGCTGCCCCCAGTGGTGAGGAACACTATGGGCATGTGCAGAGCTGGCTCTCTTTTATCTTGCAAATGAGCAGGCTCTGCTGGAAAATGAATGATTCTTTTGGGTGTCTCAATAGGAAGTGAATGGTCAACGTAATCAATAACTAGCAACATTTTCTGAGATTTCCAACTCTCGTTTTACAATTTGGCAACGCCTGTACTGTCGGCTGCTGAATCGCCAAACATGTGCTTCCCAGAGTTTTTCTAGAGCTTGACGTTAAGTTCATGGATCGAATGTCAATTTTTCTTAACCTCAGTGTAGGCTTTGAGCTGAAATTTATAAAATGAATTATTGAGCCTTTCACAAAGCTGTATAAGAGCATGCCTGTTTGACCTCTTGGAGTCACAGTGATTTTATTATGCAAGGTGTCTCAGGACGCTGAACTACATTGGCTTTACAATAGAGGGGATGACAAATGACACGCAAATTAATAGGTCTAATGGCTTTTCTGATTTTCCCACAAAAAGATATAATTGGTTTAATGGCTTATGACTGGGCTTGTTTTGGTTGCTGTGGGCTTTTTTTTCCTTTCTTTCTTCCTTCCTTCCTTTCTTTCTTTCTTTTTAATTCAGAAGGGAAATAAACCATTTTCAGTATTGGAACCCAAAGATCATTTAGTTCATAGTTTATTGATGTTGCTTCTATTTATTACACTAATAATATTTATTGAGTGCCAAGTCCTTTAAATGACTATGTCGCTCTGTTTTATATTCCTTTTTAAAAAAAATAATTATTTTATTATTTTTACTTTTACAGATTTTTATTTAATTTTAAGTGCATTGGCATTTTACCTGCGTGTGTGAGAGTGCCAAATCCCAGGGAACTGGAGTTACAGTCAGATGTGATCTCCCCTGTAGGTGCTGGGAATTGAACTTGGGTCCTCTGGAAGAGCAGCCCTTGCACTTAATCGCTGAGCCATTCCTCCAGCCCATAGTTTGTCTTCCAACAATAGCAGTGGGAAGGTCCCATTGTAATCTACATTTCAAAGGTGAAGGTCCTGGGATTTAAAGGGGGTCACCAGCTCAAGGCTCCAGAATACAGCCAGGAAGAGCTAGAGCTCACACGCAGGACCTAGTCTACCTTCACTACCTAGTGCTTCACTACCTAGTGCTTCACAACCACTAGCTCCTTTCCAATGGCATCGCTGTGCCCACTGGATATGGGTAAAATGAGACAAAGAGGAAGGTGGTGAAGCTCTACAGTGTCCTCTTGTTCTCTAGAGGAGGACCCTGTGAGCTCCCTTTGTCTTAGAGGAAGTCAGGGGGAAGCAACAGCTAGTCTGATGATTAAGAACACCAATCCTTGCTAAATTTGACCTCTGTGTTTGTTACCTTGAGTGCCTTTCTCACTTCCTCTGTGGTTTAGATTTCTCGCCTGCAAAAAGGAAGTGATAGTAAAACTACTTCACAGGCATATTTTGAAAATTAAGCTATATTTTTGTCTTTGATTATGGTACTGAGGATTGGACTAGCACCCTGGGCTGCAACCTCACCCTTATGTCATTGTCATCTTAATTTTTGTAAGTGCTTAGTTCAGTGTGTAGCACAAAAATTGAACAAATATTATCTGTCACGTGTACTGATGTTGCTTTTTAATATTGAATATTGACTGCATTAACTCTCTGAAACTCACAAAGAACTACTTCAGTGAGTGGCTTTTTATATTTCACTCAGTAGGGAAAGAGCTTGTGTCATTTTGATTTTATGGACTATGTCTAATAACTAATTCTGGTTGTTTCTCTACCCTCGAAGCAAAGCATAACACCTGCTCTAAGAGTTTGTCCTTTTTTATATATATATAAATAAGTATTGTTCTTTAAGTATTTGCTTCATTTATGTTATGCAAATTGGCTGCATCTCAATTAGGGACCACTTTGATATTATCCAAGGGTGAACCGTTTGGTCAGTGCTAATCATAATACTCAAAGGGGCATTGGTGTTGTGATTGCCTTGAACTTATTCATGTTGTAACTATATCTAAAACACTTAAAAAGCTTATCAAGTAATTTTCCTTTTCCAGTCTCCAAGATTCTGATCCAAGCAGATGGAAAAGGTTGTGCTTTTTTTTTCTTATTGAGAATTTCATAATGCATACATTGCATTTTGATCAAATCTACCCAATTTCTCCCCTAACCCTTCCTACACTTTTCAATTCAGTATATATGCCTGTGTTCTCTGTCATCTTTCTCCCACTTTCTCTCTGTAAACCCACTAAGCTCACTTAATGCAGCTCATATGTGCAGGTTATAAGATCATCTCCTGAGGCATGGAAAAAGTAAGTTTTTTTTTTTTTTTTGAATGGGTGTGGCCACTGAGAGGGTATATTTTTGATGGACAAATATGTTTTAGAAACTCACTAAAAAGGAATGAACAGTAACAAGTGCAGTGCTCTCTCAGTAGGAGAGAGAATGGAGATGTCTGACTGAGTTGCAACCTCTAAGGGGTGACTTTTTGTCTCTGGGTTATTTTAACACAACAGTGCTTGGCACATTATAGATCCATAATATATTTAGTCAGTAAATACAATAGCCATACAATTAGCTTTATGTCATATGTAGTCTTTTTATATTATAAAATTTGCTAAAAATGTTTTAGTATGTGTTTTTTATAGTATGTATTTATATAGCCTAGTGATAATGTTTTTTCACTTGTGTATGATGTATTCCAGTCATATTTGTCCTGTTACTTTCTCTTGAGAACCAGTTCCTGGTTGCCCTCTTTGTGCCATCATTAGGCTCTGACAAATATCTAAAATCATGCATGTGGTCTCGGGGGAGCTCTGAAAAGTCAGTCTCATTCTTAGTTCTGTTGGGAGAAATGGATAAAGACATCCTTGACTTTCAAGACAAAGCCACACAATTGTATCTAGTCTACTTGCCGTTCCTCAGGTGTACCACCAGATCCCAAGGAGCATCTGTACTGGCAGGTTTGGAGGGTGTAAGTCTCTAGAAGGAACAATATATGTAATGGTACCCTTACCCACTCCTTGTTGAGTCTAGAGATTTCCTCTATTAGTGAAGTTGGGAATAAGTACTATTAAATGATGCATAGAACAGGTGGGAAAAACATCAGGTGATGAGCAGGTCTTCAATATCCCTGGAGACATCACTTGTCTTCATAGTTAAACCCTAAGTTTCACAGGAATAGTAAACATGCATTTAAATATTCAACTCAGCACGGTACAGAATGATAACGCCGAGTCTTTATTATCTAACATCCCAAATGGGACTTCACAACTTGCATGTCTCAAAAAAGCCTAAAGGGAATCATATTTATAGCTTTTTCCTCATTTCTCTGCATTGAAAGCCTCTGATTTTCCTACTCACCCTTTCTCCTTCACACGGGGAAGTTGGTAGGAAGACATCTTTCTTGTCTAACAGCTGCACGGGGCCATTCACTTGTCCATGTGCCTCATGCTCTTGTGATGGAAGCACAAAGGAGATCAGGGAATATATTATCATGTTTCTTTTCATGGGATAAATATGTTTGGATTATTTATGTAAATAACATTGTTTTGTATTACCACTTCTTGTCTTTAAGTTTCAATGTTTTTAATTTTTTGATAGCTTGGCTTTCCATCTTGTCTTGCTCCATGGCTCTGCTCTCTCTCTCTCTCTCTCTCTCTCTCTCTCTCTCTCTCTCTCTCTCTCTCTCTCTCTTTCTTTCTTTCTTTCACGAAAGTGTTTTTCTGTAGCTTTGGAGCCTGTCCTGGTACTCTCTCCTTAGACCAGGTTGGCCTCTACCTCACAAAGATCCACCTGCCTCTGCCTCCTGAGTCCTGGGATTAAAGGTATGTGCCACCACTGGCCTGGCTCAAGGTTCTGATCTTATGTTCCTTCCCTGGCTCTTAAAATTGATATTTAGGGTTAATGTTGACCACTTGTCTATTTCTCATAGGTATTCTTGTCATTCTTGCACTGAGGCACCTGGAATGGTCCCATCTTTGGCACTAGCTCTTAAGCTGGCATCCCTGTAGGTTTGTCCTAGTTAAAGGTGACAAAGCTCTTGAAGAGGGAAAATTATCAATGAAGCTGGTTGAATTCTCAAAGTGGAAAGAACAATTCAAAGACATGTTAATCACTTAAGGCTATAGAAATTATTCTAATGATGCCAAGTAGTCACTCAAAAGGTTAAAAACATACTGTGTTGTAGACACATTTACTAACTTTCTGGCATGGTTTCCAGAGTTTATCCTCTTTTACTTGTCGACTGCAGTCAGCTGATTGTCTCTGCCTTCCCTTTCAATACTGGCAAAATTCTGCCCCATTATGTGCTTAGCAGCTTCCTTTGCTATTGCCTCCACAGAGAGGACTAACCATAAACTACCTGATGACTAAAATTTCCCCAGTGCATCTGAGGTCTTATGATTTATACAATTATAAAACACACTGTCATCTATATAAACACTATTTTATTGAATTTTATTGAATTGACTAGCTAAACATATTTTGCTTAAAGTGAGCAAATAAATCAAGTGGCTATATATAATGCCAGATTTCATACCAATGTGAAACTAGATTGCCAAATATAAAGGTGTAAGAAATAGGACATCTTCAAGGTACCTGGCTTCAGAGATTTCATTGATTTAGCAATGAAATAATCTGAAAACCATTATGTGTTAGATACTGTTTTAAATATGTGGACATCAGTGTGCAAAATAAAGGTCTATGCAGTATGAAATTTGCGTTTTCAATGAATGAAACAGACAATTTCAATGTAAATATAGGTAGGGCATTAGTTAGTCATGCTATACTTTGAATCTGAAATGCCCCCATAGACTTATGGTTATAGCATTAGTTTCCTGATTAGTGTTGCTGTGGAACCTTTAGAAATGGAGACTGTTCCATCAAAGGAGGTTACTGGACTTAGGCTTTTGAAGGCTATAGCCTAGCATTTACTTCCTTCTAGTCTGTTATGATATGATGAACCTCTGCCTCAAGGCTCCTTGCCACAAAGTCCA